TTGCTCTTGATGCTCAGCATAGATCTGGCTAAAAGATCCCCACAGTAGCCATTCCACCACCTCAATATTTGGCTGCCTTGAAATTTCTTCAGTAAGATTAATTAGTCCACCACTCCTAGTCTCAGTCTCCGGCAAAGTGTGTGGGCACAAACAAAATTCAGACAAACTTTTTGCCAAGTCATGACACACATCATGTGGAGCCCAACAGCCACTGTGATCCTTCTTCCTAGCAGAAACCTCCAAGCCTGGTCTTTACCAGTTTTCTGGTCTTCTGAGCTCTGACCAGAATCTCCAAAAAAGAACAGCCTAAGGTGCTCCAGCCCCACTTCCACAGCAGGTGCCTCTGAATCTCTCTTAACTCTTCCCCTTCCCACAAGCCAGTTCCAAAGGCTCTTGAGTCACCTGACCAGGTAACACAACACCCCACTCTTGGTACCAAATTTCTGTGTTAGTTACTCTTTTCTCATTGTTGAGACAAAATACCCAACAAGAGGAAGGGGTTTATTTGTCTTACAGTGCATAGAGGTTTCAGTCTGTAATTGGCTAGCTCTGAGGTTGGATAACAAACAGGCATCACAGAGGAGAAACAACATGGCGTGCACAAGGCAGCAAAGGTAACAGGAGAAGCCTTAGAGTGTCTCTGTTCCCTTTTACCTGATTCAGACTACTTAGGGTAAGTAGCACTCGCACCCTTAATCCTAAGTGCCCTTGAGCCTAGCTTTTCATCATAAATCAATCCCAGCTTCACACACTCTGGATCAAGCCTGTCACCACATAAGGCTTTGGGGGGACATCTAGACCCAAACCGCAACCAAAGCACAACATTTATTGGTACATTTTAGTTATATATAATGATAACACTTGTCATAGGGAATTTGCACCTGTAATGATATATCCTGCCTCTTTGTTTTCATCCCCCTCTACTTATGATTCCCTCCTCCCCTCCCTATATAAAAAAGCTTGTTTCCATCTTTTACTTCTATTTTCACTTTTTTTTCTTCTCCCTTCCATCCTGGGGTTTGGACTTTTAAGAGGCTTGGGTAGTGGGAGGTAATTAGGTCATGGACCCCACCCCCAAGGCGGATTACTGTAGGTAGAACTTGTGGGATTCCATTACCTGGATTGTGAGTCATTGTAGGGGAGTCCAGCACCTACTCTGAGTCCCTCTTTAAAATGCTTTACTTGCTACTCTTGTGCATGTTCCTGCCAGTGTGATGCACAACCAGAGCCAAGCCGATACTTGTGCCACGTGCTTGAATCTCAGTTGTTTGAGCTAAACAAAACTCTGTGTGCGCACACACATGTGTATGATGCTGGAGATCGAACTTATACATGCCGCAGGCACTTCATCCCACTGAGCTCTACCCCCAGCCTATCTCTTCTTTTGAACATGTTTTATTCGTAGTTGTACATGTTTGTACTATGTAACGATTACCTTCACCGTGGGGAGTTGGTACGTGTAACACATCTTGTGTTTTAATCCCATTCCTCTCCCCTTCCCTTTTTCCTGCCTCCCTGCATCTCTTAGTCCCCTTCGTTTTTGCAAAAGTTCTATCTCCCTGTTTCTTACTGTCTCTAGTTTCGCTCATTTATACTTCATGTTTTTCATGTAAGAGAAATCATGCAGTATTTATGCTCATGCGTCTTATTTATTTCTCTTGCCAAGTGCGATGGTGCACACCTATAATCCCAGCACCCAGGAGGTTGAGGTAGAAGGATGCCATGAGTTAGAACTCAGCCTGGGCTACATAGTGAGTTCAAGGCCAGCCTGGACTACACAGTGAGAGAACCTGTCTTGAAAAAAAGAAAAAGAAAAAGAAACCAAAACATCACGGTCTCAAAGTGCATCTGTTTTCCCACTCATGATTCAAGTACGCTTTTTGTTTGGCAAAGTAGTACTTCATTGCACATAAATACCACCTTTTTTATCCTTTTATCTGTTGACAGACAGGCTACTTGTGAGATTAAGTACTATGAGTTGCGCTTCTGTAAACATTGGTATGTGTGTATCACTGTAATTAGGTGTATTTAACTCTTTCAGGAAGATACCTAGAAGAGGAATAGCTGCAATTTCTAGATGTTTTTTTTTTTTTGAGGAATCTTCATACTGATTTTTATAGTGGTTTATTAAGTTTATGCTCCCACCAACAAAGAAGAGGGGTTCTCCGCCCCCCAGCCTCACCATCATTTGTTTTTTGATTTTTGATGGTAGTGATTCTTTCTGGAGTAAGGTAGAATCTCAGTGTTGTTTTAATTTGCATTTCTCTAGTAGAGATGTCACACATTTTTTCATGTATTTATTAGCCATTTGTACTTCTTCCAAGACCACCTTTTTTTCTTTATAAAGTACTCACCTCCAGTATTTTGTTACAGCAATACAAAACATAGAGAGATATACACTAATTTATTTTTTACTTATGCATTCCCCTAATGACAAGCATCTACATCATCTCCTTTTTTCTGTCTGTCATTGTCAAGAAAAGGGTTAAAATCATGAATCAGTGAAATACATGTGGTCATTAGGAGTACTCAGCTGCATGCCATTTCTTACGAGGGGCTGGCTACCTCACTGAAGAGAAACGTTTCCTACAGATAGCCTTGAGAGCTGTGTCTGTGTGTGTGTCCTTGAGTCTAGCCAAGGCTGGGAACCATCCCTTCCAGACACACGGGCCTGTGGGCACCAAGTCACTTTAGTCTGAACACAGTATTTAAGGAACTAACAAACTAGACGCATACGGTTTGGCATTGTCTCTCTTGCCTGCCAAAGGCTCCATCTTATGCAAGAACCTTCCTCAGAAGATTCTCTTTCGTCTTTGGTGCTGTCCGCGGTCCCTGATGTGGTAATGCAACCTTGCTTTCTTCTGTGTTCTTCGCTCTCTAAGAAGTACTTTAAATGTATGTACTGTTACAGGGGCTCTTCTCTGTCGGTGTGAGTCTGTAGCCACATATGTATGACTCCTTGCTGCCACAACCACAAATGAAAGGGAAGTGAATGCTCGCACGTGCCTACCTATGGAGTGAGGCTTCCCGTGGAGTTTTATCCCACGTGTCACACGGCCAGGTTCTCATTTCCCTTTGGCCGGCAACTAAATTGTCACACCTGCCTACAGCCTCTTTCCTGACCATGTCACTGCAGCAGGCCGTCCTCTGTTACCCTTTTAGCAGTGTTTGTCTCCCTCGCAGCACATGTAGGACATGGAAGTACTTCGTTTCCATTTTTTCTCTCTTCCACTGTAACCCAAGCTCTAACGAGGGCAAGTATTTTGTCTTGTGTATTTTTTTAGCCCAGCCCCTAGGACAGGGTGTTAAAAAATAATTGCCCGATTACTATTTTATGAAGGGGGGAAGGAAGAAAAAAATAATAAATAGGAAAAGGAAGAAATGTTTTAGAAGAATCTTCAAAGTTGAACTCATGGAACGTTGCTATTTCACGTCTCACCATAGAAAGGTGAGTTAGAAATTACCTGTAATAGGAATGATTTAGAACCTTAGAAATAGTGAGTTCCAATACTAATTTTTAAATTGTGTTCACTTTTGTGCTGTACTTAACCTCCAATGTCTTGAAATTTCCTCATACAAGCCACATGTTAGGCTCTGGAAACTAAAGAAGAGGTCTGTGTCCATCGTTGGCCTAAAATGTTACACAATAAGGAAGGACAGCAGCTGCAAGTGAGATGGTGTGGGGAACTCAGGGAGAGAGCCAGGGACAGGAACTTGGAGTGAGAGGCCAGGAAACCACTGGGAATGCCAACAGCCTCTCCAGAAATCGTAAGGCTACTCTGGCGAATGCTGAGATTCCTGATTACATCAGGTAGGAAACTTGATGTTTAGACATTACAATAGAGAGTAAATCCCAGAGATTGAAAAATTAATGTTGTAAGCCGGGCGTGGTGGCACAAGCCTGTATCACTAGGGAGGCTGAGGCAGGAGGATCACTGTGAGTTCGAGACCAACCTGGGCTACATAATGAGTTCCCGTTCAGTCTCAACTACATAGTGAGACCCTGTCACAAAAAACAAACAAACAAAAATTAATGTTATATATAATCCTACATTCATGCAGATTCCCACAGTGTTTCTAAGAGATTATATTATATTCTCCTTTCTATTGTCTCATGGGATTGATAGCCGATAAGATTGGCAATAAAGCCTGAGAAACTAAATTACTAACTGGGATGAGAAATCGCTTCCTTAACCCTTATGAATGTCTTTGTATATAAAAGCCCATCCAGCATAGGTTACCCAAGACAATTATAGTCTGATGTGTGATCTACAGTAATAGCATGGTCAATCAGGATAATTTTGTAATATATTTTAAACACTGAGAAAAATTCATCCAATACATTTATTAGAGAAAAGGTAGCAGATAGGATTGTGTGTATGTGTGTGTGTGCGCACGCACGTGTGTGAAGTACTGGGGATTGAACCCAGGGAATGTTGAGCTACATTTTCCAGCATTTTTGAGACAGAGTCTTACTGGCTGGCCTTAAACTTGTGACCCTTCTGTTCCAGCTTCCCAAGTAACTGAGACTACAAGGATGCGCCACTATGCCCCAGCTAGGGAAGTTTTTAAAATGAGATTGTAATCATATTGGTGTAAGCGCATAGTAACCTACAGAGTGATATCTGATAAACTAGAGGAAGTCAGTACATTTTAGTTACTGCTTCAAAACCCAGGGACTGGCTGGGCCTTTGCAGCATATGTCTGTAATCCCAGCACTTGGGAGGCTGAGACAGGAGGATTGCTACAAATTCAAGGCCAGCCTCAACTACATAAGAAGACTGTGTCTCAAGAAAGCAAACAAACAAAAAACCCTGGGGCTCCATGCTGAATCAACACCTGAAGCGGACATAAAAGTGTCAGTTCAATTCCTGATTTTTTTTTTACTAATGTGGAGGGACGATGTGACATATTCGTAGCAATGAAGAATCTACAAATTCATTATTAAGTCTTTTTATCACTTTACTTCCCTTTTCACAGGCTTTTGGCTATAAAATGGATGGCTTTTGGTAAACTGTTGATCTACTAGTTTCCAAAAACAGTATCTCAAAAAGTCCTGGAAGGTGTCACAGTCCCTGTGACAGGTATGTCCAAAGGGTACATTCAACTCCGACTGACCGAGCTCTCAAATTTTTTCACTGATACTGTCAGAAAGTGACAAGGATGCCAGAAAGACTAACCTTTGACAGAAACTACAAACTCCTGAATCCCCTACAGCACCTCCAAATTAAATCACGCTCTGTACCCCTCTACTCCCTACCCACATAAGTACCGCAGTGTGCTTACAGCACAGTTTGGTTTGATGTAATCTCGCTTCATCTTATGCCATGTGACTTTCCTCTCAGCCAGGGTCAGGAAACCCCACAGAAACCTGGGATGCTGCCCATCCTGGGCCGTGTGCAGTGCCTGGCAGGCCCACTATGACTTGCTGTTGAACATGGCCTTGGTGTGCCAGAGAGAAACAGATCCACTGTTTCATCACAGGAGCCTTGGATGATTCACCTGTTACCTTGGAACACGGGTTTTAAAGACAAACCATTTTGGTCTTGCTGAAAGATGGATTCCACATACTGTGCTCTAATGATCAAGTGAAGTAAGTTGCTATGTATTTGTCGAATGAGTTGAAACAGTGAAACAAGTTAAACGCAAGAGCTTTAGTGTAAGCAAGGTCTGGATTTGAATCCTGCTTTCAGGAAGATAACTGAGAAGTCTAGGGCAAGCTCTATAGAGCTGTTTAGATGATTAAGGGAGATCACGTCTAGGAAGTGGTTAGGACATAGTGATTATTTAACTGATAGCTAAAGACAACAAAAATTTAAGTGAACACAGGTAATTATCCATAATGAACATCTTATTGCAGTTTGTAACTTTGTAAGGGTTCATTTATAGCTTTGCAAAGGTTACTCTATAAAGATAAGCATTTGATAAATTTAATTTATACAATAATTTAACCTCTGGAACTTTACTTTTAATAGATGAATGTTTTCTGTCTTAAACGAGTAGAATACATGTCCTAGAATATGTGATAAAAAATTGCTTTTCATAGCAAATTTTTTCACATAGTTTTTATTTATATGGAGTTTTTTGTTGTTGTTGTTTTTTGATACAAGGACTCACTATATAGTTCAGGTTGGCCTTGAACTCACAGTGTAGCCCAGGCTGCCCTCAATTTGCAGCGATCCTCCTGCCTCAGCTTCCTGAGTGCTGGGATTACAGGCATGCACTGCCATACCTGGCTACATAGTTGCTCCAACACATGGTTTAATTTCAGTTTTTCTTGGACATTCTTGGAGGTACACATATAGTGAAGAAATGAAGCTACTAAATTAGGCAGTGTTTATGTTGCTGGTAGAATTCTGAGAGATATAAGCCAATCTTTTCACTAAGTCTTCTGACCAAATTGTTTATTTGCCAAGGAAGGTTGGTGAGGCGGCTGTGTTACACTAACTGCCATGGAGATTTGGAGAGTAAACATCGACCTTTGATGTAATCACTTTGGAACTTAAACCAAGTGAGCAAAATGGCAAATGTAGCTAATGCAGAAAACCTACAAATACTTAATGACTTCTGGGCACTGAGATACCAAAAATATGTCAAGTCCTAGCCTCCAGCCAAAGCTGTAAGAGTAATTTGGCGCATGGTAGTTCTGCTGCACATCATAAAGACAAGAGTCACAGCTCAACTTCTCGTTGATCGTTGCATACTTTCAAATATTAGACCTTACGGCGAGCGGTACTGATTGATAAATTGCAGTGATGGAGGTCGAACTCAGGGCCTCCTGCATGCTAGGCAGGTGCTGTGCCACTGAGCTCACAGTTGGCCTCTTGGGTGGTACCTTTATACTTACTCAAAAGTTACCTTAAGAAAAAACATCAAACGCTTTTTAAACTGCCCCGGGGACCGTGCGCTGCCCACCTCCCCTGCCTCGGACAATGCTCAGCAAGCTGGTGACCCGGGCACTGCTCTGGGGTGGGAAGCGGAGGGGGCCGAAGCGCGAGTGCGGCCCACTTGACCGTGAGAGGCAGAGACGGACCACGCGCGGGCTCTGCTGAAGGGCGCGCCAGCCGCAGGACCACACGAGAGATGCGCAGGCGCGTTCGCGCGGCGGAGGTGGCGCTGGAGGCCGTCTGGGGATTGCGGGGCGACGGCGCTGCCGCCATTTTGTAGGGTGTTTGTCGCAGCGACCGGACAGACGACGGCGGTTTGGAGACGTTTTTCGGCCAAACGGCCTTTTGCTCTCGCGGAGGTGAGGTTTTGGGAAAGGGGTGTTGGTCTCGGCGCTGTCGAGTCTGACTTGAGGTCTCGCAGCCAGGCGAAACGGCCGGGCCTGGGGCCTCGGCGGCTGGCGACTGCGGCGGCGGCGGTGGTTTCCGGGC